TTCCCTGGGGGGGGCCTTAAAATTAATTTTAGGGAATTTAAGGGGGGGGGGTGGGAATTTGAAAAAGCATTCCCCCAGCTTTTTTTTTGGGGGTCGTTTAATTCAATTTTGGGGTTTTTTTAAGGGGGGGGGGGGGGGGGGCGACAATCGACACAGCAGTCATCCAGCAATTCCTATGTGGCCTAGAAATCAATTTCAGGGAATGGGCTGGTCGACATTTGAAACAGGAGTCATCGCCCCGAGCCAACTGTGCCCGGCTGCTGTACGGGGAAGAAGACATACAGCCCGCTGGGGTGTGCTGAAACAACCCGTTTTTTCAGATACCAATGGCAGAAATCTGTTGACAAATAGTCGCGACTGGCCTAACCCGTCATTCCCTCACGGGCTTTCCCTTACCGTACTTCTCCCGATCAAGAAACGCCTCCACCAGGTGTGGGTAGCCCTCCAAGTCGCCCTCCATCTCCCACGTGCATTCCTCGTACTCCAGCCCGCGCCACTTCACCTGTGGGAGTAAGGCATGTGTTTTGTGCGTGCGTGTCTTCGTCATTATTGCTAGCATGGACCCAGCTAACCGGCTGACCAACGAAAATACGCCCGTCTCAGTACGGCTGAAAACAGAAAACTCTTGCAAAGGCAAGATCTGGGAGGGCGTCATTTTCGTGCGTGCGTGTGTGTGTTTTATGTTTTTCGACATTAGCATCGACCGAGCCAACCGACAGACCAATGAAAAGACCTCCAGTCTCCTTCCTCCGCACGCAAAACCGAAAAGAAAAAGAAAAAAAGGCCGCGGTCTCTGTTGAATTTGATTCAAGCATTAAACACCCACCAGGTACATGCTCTGCAGGGTGATCCCGTCCATGCACTTGGTCCGCCGCGCAATGACGCGGTGTGGCAGGGTGCACCTCGGCTTGTACTCCTTCAGCAGCACCTGGTCCCTCGACTCCGGAAAAGCCGTCAGCGTGCCTTCCGTCTTTTTCTGGTCATTTTTTTTTTCACGGGTTTTCAGCCGGAATAATGGAATTTTACCGGTTTTCAGCCGGTACAACGGAAGGTTCGCAAAAAAACAAGAGTCGTGCCGAACGGGCGGGGTGCGTCGAGAGCAAAGGGCCGTCTTTGCGAGAACAAAAAAAAAAAGTTCGTGAGGGAAAAGAGAACAGGGAGGGGGTACGCAGACACCGTCCCCAACTTACCCGATTGCATGCTTTATCCAACATGTTTGCTTAGTAAGAAAAATCCTGCCAAGGCTACACTGCGAGAGAAATAGGAGGAGGGGTGGGGGGGGGGGGGAGGCACCGCAAAAACAGGGGCCGTGCCGAAGGCTTGCAAAACAATAACTGAGCCCAGGGGGCGGCGGGGGGCGGCGAGAGACAGAGGCACGAGGGTTGGGGGGAAGAGAGGCACGGTTGACTCGGCATGAGGGAGAGAGGGCGGGCACCGTAGGAGACTCCGTGGATATGTACGCTCCACGATTCCGCAGATTGAGAGCAGCAACCACATAACCGGGTGACAGATAGGTTACTGTTTCCGGGTAGGGGTAAACCTCAGCACGAATGAACCCCTGAGCAGTAACCAGAATTGGGCATATCCGCAAAGGACAAAGAGCAGCAACCAGAAACGGGATACCCGGAGCATGACAAGGCATAAACCACACTTTCCGGGTAGGGGGAAAACTCGGCACGATTGAAGCCCCCACTCTGGGAGCCATCCGATTGGTCGAAATGTCGTCGCACCTATTCCTGGAGAAATGCTGATCGGAACAGACACTGTCCAAAGCATCTACCCTCAGTTCAACCGCTGCTGGCTACCCATAGCCGTTGGACTGAGAGTGGATGTCCCGGGCAGGTCTGTTCCCGATCAAGGTTTCTCAAAAGAAAAACAGGTACGACGGCATTTCGGCCAATCAGATGGCTCCCGGGGGATTCCTTCGTGCTGAGTTATACCTCTACACGGAATTGGTGGTATATCCATCACACTGGCATACCCGTTTCTGGTTACTTCTAAAAGAGAATTGCCAGGCCAAGGTAGAAATCGAACGTTTATAGGCCAAAGTGGAAATCGAACAAACAGTCTCACCACCCAGAAGTGTCCTTTCGAACCGCCTTCGAGAGGGTATTATTAATCTTTATCCCTACCCCCAACCCCACCTAGAAAACCAAGCTCACTTATCCTCGCCGAGACCGCTGGTACTTGGTCTGTGAATGTCAATTACTACTGGCACTCACGATGAAGTTGTTGAGCTTGGCGGCGGACTTCCTCTGGAGCAGCTCCGGCGACAGCCACGTGCAGTGCCAGTACGCCTTGCCCTCCCAGCGGACGAAGTACTCCCGCCCCCGGTACGACGAATCTATGCTGCGGAGCCCCCTGCTCGTGATTGGTGGAAGCCCCTACAAGTTGTCGAAGAGCCAAAGAGAGAGAGAGAGAGAGAGAGAGAGAGAGAGAGAGAGAGAGAAACAGGCGTAGCGAGAGCGGCGTATTCATTTAATGCTGGCCGTAAATCAGTTGAGCATCGACGATGCATCTCTTGCGAGACAGCATGGGGGCAGGGGGGAGTAACGACAAGGAGAGTTTCCGTGCAACCTTCTTCCCACACGTGGAGAATCTAGTCGGGATTAAGAGGCATTGGACGAGGACATATCGTTCGTTACGTGTATCGTGAACACGGGAGCTTGGAAGCCCACAGACGAAAAGGGTGTGCAATTCATTGGAGGAGGAATCAGTCGTTCCGGGAACAGTGCTCGACACAACAATATACATGACAACCGATGACAACACTGCCAAACACCAACTCCGCCACCGTAAAGCAACACCACAATGACGGCAAATAAGCACTTCTACTCACAGTACCTGTCCTTAATCCGGGGAGTAGCATACACCTCCCCCTCACGGACTCCAAGATCATGGCCTCGTTTGTGCTTTCAACCGCACTGAGAATGACGCCTTTCACTATTAGTCAGCCGGGTAAATGCAAATAAAAACGCAAACATAGACACGCACCTTCTTCTCTCTGAAGCTGTTGACTCGGGCCAGCCTAACGGCAGCGTCCATGGGCTTGTGGCTTCGGCAGTGGAGGATCGTCTCGACCTTTAGCTCCTCGCTCTCGACGCACTCGAGGCACATCCAGTGGAAGTTGTCGGGATCGGGCACTCTGGTTCGATTTCATATTTTTCACGTTTTGAGGGAAGGGAGGCAAGCAGGGTATGCACAGGATTATTCACGTAGGAGGTCGGACGCACCACTTTTCTGCACGGCGGCGCCCTCGGAACGTTGGCGACCGCATCCCCGTGTTCGGCATGCCGCTTTCGTCCGATGGCAACGACACATACATACAACGTACCTGAGTACGCACACAGGCATGCACTACCAACGCCGTTCGCATCATCGTCGTCGTTGTAGCAACGGACCGCCCTCGCACGATTAATAAGTTCGCGAGGAAATAGCACACGGAGGGGGAGACGCAGACCGTGTTCCTAACCCGAACCCTAACCCCCGACGCCCCCGATTGTACGCCTTATCCGACATGTTCACATAGTACGAATAGCCCTGAGAAGGCTACTGGTACCAACTGCTGTGGTTGCTATAGGTTGTTGTACTACAGGTTGTTGCCTTCAAGCCAAAAAACTTTTTTTCTCGCCCCTAGTCCCCGCGTCCCTTCTTTTCTCTGCTTACCGGCAAAAGGGGCGCCGGAAAAAGAGAAAGCCGGCTGCACTCAGCAACCGCCAATATTATTTTGGGGTACGGCAATACATCGGGCGCGTCTCCAAGAGCAGACCCTACCAGCACTATAACTTCCCAACTGGGCTAGACGGGGAATTTGTTTTAGAAAAAAAAAAAAAAAACGCCTCCTCAACCTGTCGAGGCAAGAGGAGTGGAAGAGGCGGTAGCACTGGAAGCAGCGAACGTCCGTGTCGTCTCTCTTGGCCGTGTCCAGGCAGATGGAGCACATGCCCCGGCAGCTCTCGCACAGGTAGAACTCCGCCGGTACCCTGCATCGTCGTTTCGGCATGTGTCGTCGGTCTCTGAGCCGTGGTGTTTCTTTGGAGCGCTTTCCGACAACAGGATCGCCGCAAAATACACTTCGGCTAAAAAAAACGAAAAAAAGCAACAACAAAAAAACATAGGACACGAACGGGCCGCACCAACGTGGCACATAGCAGCCAAAATAAAAAGGGGTGGCGTCATAACAATTGTCTCCTTCCCCGTCCAGCGTCGATGATGCTCCTGCTCTCTCCGGCCGTGGAGGGTTTCGCACGGCACCGCGACCACCCGCCGCACTTGCGATTTTCTGAAGCCGGGCCGAGCCGTACCGACCACCAAATGACCAACAAACGACTATTATAGAGACCCCCACACTCGTAAAAAAAAAAAACGCACACACACGGTCTTTCATTGGTCAGCCGGTTAGCGCGGTCGATGCTAATAACAAAAACACACACGGAACAACGCGACAACAAACATATTGACGAACATACCAAAGCACGCTAGCTGACATGACACTTCCACACATCCCAGCAGCACTACTTGACTGCCCACACGCGTAGTGCACTCAAGACCACAAAACTTGCACTCCCAATCTAGAAAAAACACACCAACAACGCACACGAAACTATTGACAAAATACGGATCAAACGACACGTCTTGAACGCTTCCTGGATCATGGGACAAGAAAAAAAAAGTCAAGCACCTCACACAAAAAAAAACTGAACAGCCAACGACAGAGATCAAATGGCCCTTACTGAATCATGGCCGGACACAAAAACCAATCTAGCGACGCACAGAAAAAAACAAATGCGTTGCCAACAACACACAAGAAGAGATCAAACTGCCACTTACTGGATCATCGGCGGGTCCGCGCACTCCAGGTGCACCGCCCCCACGCAGTGGTCGCACACCACGAGCATCCCGTCCGACTCGCACCCTGGCTTGACACAGTCCGCTTCGTTTCCTTCTTCCTCGTCATCCTCCTCCTCCTCCTCTTCCTCCACCACCACCTCTACCACCACCTCCTCCTCCTCC